CCTTTCACTTTCTTCTTCTTCTTTTTTGTTTAATGTTTAATTTTGTTTTAGGTAAAAGTTTACATAGCAAATTAGTTTTCCAATCAATAGCTCGAACACAAATTGTTGGGTGACTGGTTGCAATCCCTGCAATGTGTCAGCACACTCTCCATTGCCTCCCTGGGTTTCCTGTTTCCAGTCATCCAGTGTCCCTGACCCTCCATGTCTTTTCATCCTGGATTTTGGGCAAATATTGTCCTTTTGTTTTGTATAGTAAGGAACACATTTTTGTGGGTATTTATTACTACTTGTTTTATGTTGTTGTTGTTATGTGCCATTGAATCGGTTCCGATTCATAGAGACCCTGTACAGGGTTTCCGAGGCTGTAAATCTTTACGGGAGCAGAAAGCCTCATCTTTCTCCTGTGAAACAGCTGGTAGTTTCGAACTGCTGACTGTGAGATTAGCAGCCCTATTTGGAACCACTATGCTACCAGAGCTCCTTTTTTTTTTTTTTAAGTATTCCTGTCTTTTACTTGACTGAAAGGTCACCTCCAGGAATGTTTTTAGTTTCAGATTACTTTCAAGGTGTGTTGTTTCAGGGGCTCCTCCAGTATCTTTCAGACCAGTCATTCTGTCCTTTTTAAAAATTGGATTTGAATTTTGTTTGCTATTTTTCACCCATTCTAGCCAGGACTTCTACTGTGGTCTTGGTCAGAGTGGTAAGATGTGGTAGCAAGGTGCAATCTCATTCTTCTGGTCTCAGGGTCTTCATCCTTCAGGTCTGTGGCTCATGGGGGCCATTAGTCCTTTAGTCTTCATTTTCGTTCATTCTCCTTTGCTCCAGGTGGGAAAAGACAATGTTTTGCCAACTGACCTAGATGTCCTCTGAAACTGTGGTCCTTAGTCTGTAAGTCCAGTGGCTCAGTCTTGGTGTCTAAGTAGCTCAGATAAGTGTGCTTCCCTGTGTCCTGTCATATATATGACCATACATGCAGCATTTACAAACATGTCTGCAGAACTGTTCACCAGCACCTCTCAATAGCTGTATGCGGACATACTCCTGTATGAATCCCCTCACCTATTTATCATACGTAATTAGTCATGTGTCTACTCACAAATTACCATTAGTTATTACTGTGGCTGCAGGATTGTATGAGAGAGCTTCAAAAGTTTTGGTAAAATGAATGAAAAGCTAATGGAGTTTTAAAACGAACTTTTAAAAGTCCCTTTGAAGATGCGATCACATTTACTGTAGTTGTTTACTCTTGTATGCCTCTCGCAGTCTTCCTTTGCCTTGGTCAGATTGTGTTGACTTGCCCCATATTGTGTATTGCCTTTTCAGTTACCAGCATTAACTCTGGTCTACTAAATAATTATTCTCCTTTCCTTCTGTGGTATCCATCCTAGAAGGTTTCCTTCTGTGTGTAAACCTATTCTTGGCTTCATCTTCTTCTTCTTCTTCTTTTTTTTTTTAACAAAACAAAAACCTATTTACTGTGATTTAGGTAAGTTTATAGATCAAATTGGTTATTCATGCAGCAGTTGGTGTGTATTTTTATGAACGATATTGACTGCAACCCCGACGATGTAACAGCACTGTTTCTTCTTCCTCACTGTGTTTATTGTTTTCAATCTTTCCTGTCCCATCCTGCTTTCTGAGCTGGATCCCTGGGCAAATGCACCCTTTTGATCTCCTAGGGCTGGGTAGTATAAGGAGTGCACACCTCCCTGGTGTTACCGTTCATCTTATAGACCTGTCATCATTGGAGTCCTGATGTGGCGCTGTGGGTTAATGTGTTGGTTGCAAAGTCAGTTTGAACCACAGGTTGGTGGTTCAAGCTCACTAGCTGCTCCTTAGAAGCCCTACACAGGGTCGTTATGAGTCAGAACTGACTTGACAGCATTTAACAATAAAAAATATCATTTGACTGGAAGCTGAGCCACTGGGGGTGAATAATGTCCACACTTTCAGGGGCTCCGCCAGTCTCCATCAGACCAGTTAGCCTCTCTTTTTTATAATTTGGAGATTTTTTTTTTCTACATTTTTCTCAGACTTGACCGAGATCCTCCTATTGTGATCCATTTCAGAGTGGTCAGCAGTGGTAGGTAGCTGGGCACGGTCTAGTTCTTCTGGTCTCAGGGTTGTGGAGGCTTGGGTTCACATGGTCGATGAGTCCTATGGACTAATGGTCATTGTTGTTGTTGATAAGTGCCATTGAGTTGGTTCTGACCCATAGTGACCCTGTATAGGGTTTCCAAGGAGCAGCTGGTGAACTTGAACCACTGACTTTTGGACTCATGTCCTTGTGTGTTTGATATATTTAATTCAGCACAGTGTCCTCCAGATGTATCCATGTTGTGAGATGGTTTGCGGATTCATGATGATTCCTTATCCTTGCACAGTGTTCTCAGTAAGAGTGCTCACAGTTTGTTTATCCATTCCTCTGTTGAAGGACACTGAGGTGCTTCCATCTTTTTGCTATTGTGTGTAACGCTAACACTACGATGAACACGGGTGTGCATGTGTATTCTCTTTTCACTTTCTTGATGATGTTTTTTGCATTATAAAATTTTGATGAAATTTTGTCTCTCTCGACTTTTTGTAAGGATCTTTGGTCATGTAGTGGTTACGTGTCAGGCTGTTAACTTCATGGTCAGCATTTCGAAACTACCAGTGGTTTCTGCTCCGTAAAGATTTACAGCCTTGGAAACCCTGTACAGGGTCGCTATGGGTCGGAACCGACTCCACGGCACAGAACCACCACCACCAGACTTTTGTTGTTGTTATTGTTGCTTGTATTTTAGGGTGTCCTATCTAAGAAGCCATTGCCTAATCCAAGGTTAACAAGATTTATACCTAAGATGTACTCTAAGGATTTCATATATAGCCTTCACTTTTAAATGTCGGTCTTTGATATATTTGAATTTATTGTATATGGTATGAAGCAGGGGTCCAGCTTCATTATTCTGCTTGTGGATATTCAGTTGTTGGAAAAGTTATTACTTCTCCATTGAATGGTCTTGGTACCTTGATAGAAAATCAATTGACATAGATACATAGGTTTGTTTCCAAACTGTCTGTTCGATTCCTTTCTATGTCCAGCCTATGCTAGGACCACACTGTCATTTTTAGTAATTCTTAAATTGGGAAGTCCTCCAACTTTATAAAGAAGCTTATACATTTATGAAATTTATTTAAAAATATATAAATTTATAAAATTTATAATTTTTATAAAAATATATAAATTTATTAAAAAATTATAAATTTGATAAATAAGTCCTCCAACTTTATAAATTTTAAAGATTATTTTGCCTATTCTAGGTCCTTTATCTTTCCAAATGAATTTTAGGATCAGCTTTGAAACCTCTTCAAAGAAGTCAGCTGAGATTTTGACAGGGATGGCAGTGAATCAGAAGCTCACTTTGAGGAGTCTTGTCATCTTAAGGACGTTGTGTCTCCAGTCCAGGGCTGGGGAATGCCTTTCCACTTACCTATAATGTCTTCTTTAATTTCTTTCAACAATGGTTTGTAATTTCATACCATCTATTTTGAACTATGATTTCTCTTATGATTAACTGCCTTTGAACTTTAAGGCAGGGGCCTACGCCTGTGCTCTAACGCTACTCAATGATCCATGTTTCTTCCTGCACTAATGTCTCACTTTTTTATTTAGGATGGCCTTGCAGTACGCTTCACCACACTTCCAACAGTTTCCGTTGTTCTAAAAATTTGTTATTTATTTATTGTTTGATATGAACGTCAGAAGTATCTTGTTAAATTCAACAACAAAAAGTTCTACTGTGATTTTAATTGGCATTATATCACATGTAGCAGCTCACTTAAGGCAGGGGCGGGGAAACTTTTTTTCCTGCCAAGATTTATAACGCCATTCGTGGGCCATACAAAATGATCATCTTAAAAATTAGCCTGCTATAGCTGGTCAAACATGTAATTAACACCCCTAATGTGATGGCTGGCACTGCGGATGCCTTGGTAGAGCCAGACCAAATCATTTCATGGGCCTTATAGGGCATTCCTCACCCCTGACTTAAGAGAACAGACATCTTCTGGTCGCTGAAATTTTACATAAACTTCCCTCTCTGTACATCAACAATGTACAATATTTTTCCTTATGAGTTCCTAAATATTTCTTTAAAATGTTTGTCTAAATATCTTTCTATCAAAATATCATTCAAGATCATGACTAACTGCCACTGTCACAGTTGTAAAGGTAGAAGTTTTGTAACAAAAACGGGGAGTAGTTTTCTTACAGTCCAGAAACAGAGGACCCTAGGACCATCAAGGGAGAAGAGCACAAGTGGAATTCAAGACCTTATCCAGAGAAGCAGCGACACCAGAGATGGAGGTATAGATGGGGACATGGAGAGAGGGAACAGCTGAGGACTCTAGAGTCATGCGAAGAGAGGGACTGAGTGCTGGCAGCCAGGAGGCAGACTTCCAGAATGTACCCTTTGGTGGTGTAAATTAGTATATATGCTTGAGTGTTAAGAAAAAGAAAAAAAAAAGAGTTAAAGTGAATAGAGAGAAATAATGTTAACTGATGGTACGTGGAGGGGATTATAATCATTGTAATGAAATAGGTATATGATTTGTTGAATGTAAAACTGATGATCTGCTCTGTAAACTGCCACTCATCCACAATAAAAACCTTTAAAAAAAAAATTCAAGGTGGCATTTAGGGTATAACTTCTGAGATTCTTGTACAGATATCTTGGATCTTCTCCTTTTTCTTGAAGATTGCTCTTCCTCCTATTGCTGTAAACTCATCTATTTGGAGTATCTGTCACTGGTCTGCAGGATTCAAAGGACCCAAACCTGCCTCAACCTTGTTCCCTAAGACAGAGAAGCTATTTTTTCCAAATGTAAACCTTGAGGTAAGAAATATATATGCATTTTAAAGATTTTAAATCAGATTTTCTCCAAAATGAAATAAAGATGTATGAGAAACAAGGTGATGTTTATTAAAACTAACAATCCCCTTGCTTTGTCAGCTTTACCTGGCTCCCTGGTCCAACAGCCCGTGGAGCACATGGAAGACTGGAACACAGTTTTCTCCTCAGAGGCCGGTCTTTGGTGGCACACGCTCTCGGAGATACGACGTGCACTGTCCCGTTGGCTTTGGTCTGTTTGCACGTGACTTGCCGACTGCGGAATCCCTCCCCATAAGATGCAGAACATTCTGACCATGCGCTCGTCAGCCACCTAGGAACAAACACTACAAGACCTTAGTCAGGACTGGATGTCAGACCTTTCAGGAAGTCTCTTCGGAAGGACAAGTTGATCCTAACATGTGGCTGTTTCAAGGCTGTTACATGGGAATACCCACAGAATAACTTGGAGTCTTAGTCTCAGGTTTTCTTTCATTAAGGGGAGCCACAGAGCCACCATGTCAAGATGACCAGTACAGGGGTGGGCAGAGCTCTTTCCAAGTCTATGAAGAGCCTCCAGAGGGTTGTGTTGTTGTTGTTGTTAAGTGCCATCGAGTTGGTTCCGACCCATAGCGACCCTGTACAGGGTTTCCGAGTCTGTAAATCTCTATGGGAGCAGAACGCCTCATCTTTCTCCCACGGAGCAGCTGGTAGTTTCGAACTGCTGGCCTTAAGGTTCACAGCCCGATTCATAACCATTATGCTACCAGAGCTCCAGAGGGTAGAGCTTCATAAATGTTAGATGGAAACTTCAAAAAGGTGATTTCAATGTCTTGAAATTAAAGTGGAAAAAAAAATCATATTTTTAAGGCACTAGTGTGTGAGACTCAACTTTGTTTCCCAATCAAATCACCTTAAACCACTACTTGTCTATCCATGGAACTGGTGTGTTGTCAAGCTGAATAGGAAGAAAGACCTGGGGAATCTACTCTCAAATGTCAGTGAAGACCCTCTGGACTCAATGGTCCTGTCCCATTTTGTGTGGAGTGCCACGAGCCAAGGGCCAACTTGATGGCGGCTAACACCAACAATTTTCTGTTCACTCTGCAACGTACTTACTTGGTATCTCGTGTAATTCTCATGTTATTTCCATTCTCCTAAGGAAGAGAATGGAGTCCTGGAGTGGCGCTGTGCGTTAATGCGCCAGACTGCAAAGCCATTTGAACTGCTCCTCGGAAACCCTATACAGGGTCGTTATGGGTTGGAATCGACTTGACGGCACTTAACAACAACAACAAGGAAGAGAACAGGAGGACCCTGGTGGCACAGTGGATTACGAGCTGAGCTGCTAACCGCAAGGTCTGTAGTTTGAATCTACCAATTGCTCCATGGGAGAAAGATGAGGCTTTCTGCTCCCATAAAGATGTACAGCTTTGCAAACCCTATACAGGGTCGCTACGAGTAGGAACTGACTCCACAGCACTCAACCACCCCCACCCCCAGCCCACCAAGGAAGAAACAGATACTCAGGAGAGAAATAACTAGATAGATCTGACTCCAGCTTTTGGTTAGCAGCTGAGTCCATCCATAGGTAGTATAAATGCTTAACACACTTGGCTGTTAACTGGAATTTTGTTTTAAAAGATGACTCTAATTCTTATGATTCAAAAGTGAGTAAATGTTAATCATGACTAACTGCGATTGTCACAACTATAAAGGTAGAAGTTTTGTAAAAAAAAAAAAAATGGGAGTAGTCTAGGAACAGAGGATCCTAGGACCATCATGGGAGAAGAGTGCGAGCGGAATGTGGGACCTTCTCTAGAGAAGCAGCGACACCAGAGATGAAGGCAGAGATGAGGACACGGAGAAAGAGAGCAGCTGAGGACTCTAGACTCATGGAAAGAGAAAGGCTGTGTGCTGGCAGCCAGGAGGCAGGCTTGCAGAACGTGCCCTTTGGTTGTTTAAATGATTATATATCCCTGAGTGTTTTTGTGTACATTAAAAAAAACAATAACAGAGGGCATAGAAGCAAATACTGTTGAATGGTGATGCATGGAGGAGAGTGTAATCATTGCAATGAACTAAAATACGATAGGATGAGTGCAAAACCCATGTAAACTATCACTTAATTCACAATTAAAAAAAAAAAAAAGATGATTCTATTTAAGGACAATGACAAGGAAGCTACTGGGAGAGCCCATGTGAGAAATGATGATGGCTTCGATTCTGGCAATGGCAGGGGAAATTGAAGGAAAAAAAAGGATGGAAGGGAGAAAACAGAGCATGTAGGGTGTGAATTCATTGAGATCATGGAAACGTCAGGTTTGATGGATATCAGGGTTTGATTTTCAACATGTTTTTGATTACTAATTTCTATGATCTTATTGGTTAATGTGCTGGACTGCAAAGTCGGCCTGAATCACAAGGTTGGTGATTCGAGCTCCTAGGAAACCCTATACAGGGTCGCTGTGGGTCAGAAATGACTCAACAGCACTAAACAACAACAGGATAAGCACTAGACTGCTAACCACAAGGTCAGTGGTTCAAAGCCACCAGGAAACCCTATACAGGGTTGCTATGAATTGGAACTGACTTGATGGCACTTAACAATAATAGCCACAGTACTCAAAAAGGTCATTTTCATGCTTTTTCCTCCAGGAATGGAGCCTAGGGAAGTAGGTTTTTAACAAGTGCCTCTGGTGGTTCTGACTTACTGCCCTGGCTCCTAGGTAAACATGGATTCATTATTCTTTCAAGATGAGGCAGTAGGGGTTCAACAGTAGAATACTCACCTGCCACGCGGGACACCTGGTTCAATTTCCAGCAAATGCACCTAAACACAGCCATCACCTGTCTGTCCATGTGATCTGTGTGGTGCTAAGGTGCTGAATGGGTTTTAGCAGAGCTTCCAGACTAACAAGGCCTTGAAAGGTGGGCTGGAGATCTCCTTCTACAAATCAGCTGGTGAAATGCTATGGATCACAATGGTCTAATCTGCAACTGATGGTGAGGATGGTGTAGGACTGGCAGCATTTAGTCCTGTTCCCATGAGTTGGGCCAACTTTACAGTGGCTGATAACAATTCTCTCTAAAGAAACGAACAGCACCGGGGGTGTAGGAAACTGATTTGAGCCGTGAGTAAGAGCAGAGGTTCTCAGATGAGACTGGAACTCTGGCCCTTGTACAAGGAGTTTTCCCCACAAGTGAGATAAGATAACATCTATCTCATAGGTTATTGAGAAATGATGATTTAAAAAGGTGAGACGAATGACTGGTACAGAATATGTGCTAAATGAATCTTAGCGATTTTATCATTAGATCCGAATTACCACGCCTTCTAAAATAAGCACAAACTTGCTGATGGTGAGATAAGAAGAGAGACCACACGTACCTCGCTGGGCAGTCCCGGATGTTACAGGGCTGAAACCCAGCCAGTGGCTTCTGCTGCTGCTCACAGAGGGCCTCACTCACTTCCTGCCCATTGGCCATCATACACCGGGGTCTCTGAATGCTGGTTCCCAAGTGGCCACAGGAGGCAGAACAATGTGTCCAGTTACCAGGCTCCCAAAAAGGTTCTGTAGAAAGGAAATGAAATATCATGACAGCCCCAGATGAAAAATGGTGATGGGCTGGAGAAGATGTGGCCAAAGACCACCAGGAGCTGTTTTCTGGTGGACTGCCTGTCTGGTTCCTTAAGTAGCACACAGAGAGAAAGCTAGCTCCTACTACAAAGGGGTTCTTTAAATCTCATTTTCCCTCAACTCACTTATTCTAATAACTGGTGTGAATGGCAGCCAGACCGGGGTTCTGGACCACAGCCTAGGAAGAGGGGCTATTGTAGGCCAGCTGGACTTGCCAGAAAAATCCTCGAGAGAGGGAGGAGTTACTCTCAGCGTGGGCTGCCTCCTCAGCACTCTCCAGGCAGAGCCAAGAGGACAAGCGAGAAGGCCCTCTCGGAGGAGTGTTAGAGAGGGTTCTGAGCGTCCAAAGTGGACCGGGTGGAGAAATGAAAGGTGATTTAGTCATAGGAACAGGGAGCAGGGATTAAGCCCTGAAGTTAAAGATGTATTTCCATTCAATTCTTACTTTTCCATTAATTCTTAATCTAAACTTCAGATTAGTCCTGAAGCTGCGTAAATCATTTGTCACGGAGACATCTGGAAAGATAAAAATGGGAGTTTCCTTGAGAAAAGCTAGGGCTGACCACCTCCAGTAATTATAGCTTTTTTTTTTTTTTTTTACTTTCGTCCCCATTCCAAATGCTTTTCCCTTCCTTCTGACACTTGGTAAAAGATGAGGTAGGATATGATGATGACAGATTTGTGTGTGATCACAGAAGTTTCCTATAATAATCACAAGTAAATGATAGCTACCAGCTGTATCCACAAGCTCCCTCACCAAACAGCGATTTCTTTAACTTATTGTTTTCCAGTTTTTCCTTCTGATTTTCTTTTGACTTACGTTACACATGCATCATTTGCAAAGCAGAACAGAAAAATGTATTTTTGTTGTTGTTGAGCTCTTGGGATTACAGTTTATTTAAAAATGGTGGTGTGATGTGCCGTGGAGTCGCTTCCAACTCATAATGACGCTGTATAGGGGTTCTGAGGCTATAAATCTTTATGGGAGCAGAAAGCCTCCTCTTCCTTCTGTGGAACCACTGGCAGTTTTTAACTGCTGACCATGAGATTAGCAGCCCAACTAGTAACCACAAAAGTTGCTAAATTTATTGGGAACCTTCCAGATGATAAGTGCTGGGTCAGATACTTTATAATCAATCTCTCCTTTAATCCTTATTACCATCTCGTGAAGGAGCTCTGGTAGCCTAAGTGGTTCAGCCTACACCTACCTGTCAAACAGTTTTCCAAAGTGGTTATACTATTTCACACTCTTCAGCAAAGAATCGATAGCGTAGTGGTTACGAATAGGGCTGCTAATCTCACAGTCAGCAGTTTGAAAGTACCAGCTGTTCCACGGGAGAAAGATGAGGCTTTCTGCTCCTGTAAAGATTTACAGCCTCGGAAACAGTGTACAGGGTCACTGTACGACTCCACGGCACATAACAACAACAACGAAATAGATGAGATATTTGGGTTTCTTTATAGTCTCTCCTAACTCTGGTATTGTTCATCTTTTTTTAGCTATTCTTTAACAAAACATGATATAAATCAGTTACCATCAAGTTGATTTCAATTCATGCGACTTCATGCATGTCAGAGTAGAATGGCACTCCAGAAAGGTGTTCAATAGCGAATTTTTCTGAAGTAGCCAAGTATTTCTTCTGAGGTGCCTCTGGGCAGACTCACACTGCAGACTTTTTGGTTACAGCAGAGTGGAGAACTGCACCACCTGGGGGCGCCTCAACTATCTAGTGGATGGGAAGACACATCTCGCTGTGGTTTTCATGTCCATTTTCCAGATGCTTAATTATGTTGAGTACCTTGTCTGAGTGTGGTACTATAGGATAAGCACTGGATTGCAAACCACAAGGTAGGTGGTTCAAATCGGAAATCCTTTACGTGTTTGCAATGAATCAGAACTGACTTAATGGCACCTAAAAACAAGCAACATTGGACATTTGTATAACTTCTTCTGTAAAGTGTCTGCTGACTTTTTTTTTCTTCCCCATCTTCTGGGGTGTGGGTCAAGGTGATGGGAGCTTGGGTTGCTTGTCTATTTATTGTTACCTTGTAGAAGTTTATATATTCTGGATATAAATTCTTTATAGTTTCAAATTTTTTCCTAGTCTGTGTCTTTTTTTTTTTCCCTTCACATTCTTAATGATGTCTTCTGATGAGCAGACATTTTCAAGTTTGATGAAGTTCAATTTGACAACTTTTTCTTTATGATTGGTGAGTTTTTACACACATAAGCTTAAAAAGTAAATCATATTATATCACTCCTATATGATTCCCAATGGCTTCCCAATTCTTTAAGAACAAACACTATGTACCATGACCCTTAGGTGGTGGTGTGCTTTTGAGTTCATTCTGACTCACACTGACCCTGTATAGTGTTTCTGAGGCTGAAAATCTTTACAGGGCACAAAGCCTCATCTTTCTCCTGAGAGCAGTTGGTGGGTTTGAACTGCTGAACTTGCGGTTAGCAGCCCATTGCATAATCACTATGTTACCAGGGCTCATTTTGAGCCTCAGAACTCTGTACACTTTTATCCTCAACAACTCTGCAGCTTCATCTCATGTCATCTCCTTTCCCCTCTCACTCCCTGCCCAGTCTCATGAACTTCTCTTCTGCTCTGTGACCACACTAAATTTGGAATCTCTGGGTAGTGGTTGGTGGTTATGTGCCGTGGAATCGGGTCCAACTCATAGCGACCCTGTACAGGGTTTCTGAGGCTCTAAATCTTTATGGGAGCAGAACAGCTGGTAGTTTTGAACTGCTGACCTTAAGGTTCACAGCCCAATTCGTAACCACTGTGCTACCAGAGCTCCTTTGGGTAGTATAAGTGGTTAATCCTCAAGTTGCTCACAGGAAGGTTTGGAAGTTCAAATCGACCCAGAGATGTCTTAGAAGAAAGACCTAGTGATCTGCCTCTGAAAAATCCAACACTGAAATTCCTATGGAGCACAGCTCTACTCAGATCATGGCATCGTCGTCAGTCAGAATTGATTCTGGGGCAACTGGCTTAACCCCCTGCCAGAAATGCTCCTTCATCACCTTTCTGCATTGATGGCTCCATCCCATCCTCTAGTTCTGTGTTCAGACATCATCTCTTCATTAGGGCTGTCCTGATGACACTAACGTACCCACAATCACTATGTATTTTATATTACTAGATTATATTCTTCACAGCACTTACCACAAAGAAATACAGGTTTATTTATTATTCATCTCTTTTATTGGCATACCAGGTCCACGAGGATGGGGATGTTTTCTGTACTGTTCACAGCTAGGACAGGCTATGCTATGAATCAACATCTAGTTTATTAGTAAATGAGTCTTTTGAGATGCATAGGTGTAATGATCCAAACAATATACTGCATTAGGTAAATCTGCTGCAAAAGACCTCTTCAAAGTGTTCAAGGGGAAAGATGTCAGTTTGAGGACTAAGGTGTGCCTGAACCAAGCCATGATTTCTTCAGTTGCTTCACATGTAAATGAAAGTTAGACAATGAATGATGAAGACTATAGAAAAATCGACGCACCTGAATTATGGTGTTGGATTGACAGAAGAACAATCTGTTTTAGAAGACATGCAGCCAGAATGTTCCTTAGAAGCCAGGATGGCGAGACTTAATCTCTTGTACTTTGCACATATTATCAGAAGGGATCAGTCCCTGGAGAAGACATCAACCTTGGAGAAGTGGAGGGTCAGCAAAAAGGAAGAAGACCCCAACAGGATGGACTGACACAGTGGAAGCCACACTGGGCTCAAAGGTCACAGTAATTCTGAGGGTGACCCAGGATCAGGTCAGTCTTTCATTCTGTTGTGCATAGGGTTGCTATGAGATGGAACTGCCTTGACGGCACCTAAAAACAACAGGTAAGGACCCATAGTGTGTGTGTGCATATGTAAGAGGTGGTAGAATAATCTAGGTACTGCCAATAAACCAAATCTATAAATATGCATCTGTCAGTTTGTTGTACTGAGGTAGCTTGCTTGCATTTGCTGTGATTCTGGAAGCTATAACCCAGATATTTTCTGAATATTTAGTCACTGATGAATAGCAGTGGAACACTGTCAGCACCAGAATATTGAATATTGAAACGGGACTAGGAACATTAGAATATTGTCAGACATTGTGCCGGAATATGGGCCCCTAAGGTTGGAAGACACTAAAATACGAGTGGGGAAGAGCTGCCTCCTTAAAGTAGAGGTGACCATGATGTGAATGGAGTAAAGCCCTCGGGACCTTCATTTGATGATGGGGCACAACTTAAAATGAAGAGAAACTTAGCTGTAAACATCCATTAACAATCAGAATCTGGAATGTACAAAGTATGAATCTTGGAAAATAGGAAACTGTCAAAAATTAAATGGATCACATAAACATCGATATTTTAGGCATTCGTGAGCTGAAACAGACTGGTATTGGTCATTTTGAATCTGACAATCACATGGTTTGCTATGCCGGGAATGACAAATTGAGGAGGAATGGCATCACATTCATCACCAAACAGAACATATCAAGATCTGTCTTGAAGTACAATGCTATCTGTGATATGATCATATCCATACACCTACAAGGAAGACCAGTTAATACCACTATTATTCAAATTTATGTACCAATCACTAAAGCCAGTGATGAATTTGAAGAATCCAACTCGATGACACTTAACAACAACCAACTTATTTAATCTAAAATTGATCAAACATGCAATCAAGATATCTTGGTAATTACTGGTGATTGGAATGCAAAGGTTGGAAACACAGAGGAAGGATCAGTAACTGGAATATATGGCCTTGATGACAGAAACGATGCTGGAGAGCGCATGATAGAATTTTGTAAGACCAATGATTTCTTCATTGCAAATGTCTTTTTTAAACAACATAAAAGATGACTATACACATGGACCTCACCAGATGGAATATATAGAAATCAAATTGACTATA